ATTCAATGAGAAGAAAAAGGTATACATATACTAACACTGTTTGGACAGGATATCCTGTCTGCTTCTTGTACTATGGATAACCACTAAGAAGATAACAATGTACAATGTATTGATTATCGAAACTGTCCTATTAATCAGCTTTGAAACTGTCTCATTCATATTTGTTTCTTAATAAAATAAAAATAAAAAGAATAAATTTTTAAAAATAGAATATGTAAAGATCTAAAAATTCAATTCCCTAAACTTAAAGAGCCAATAAGAAAAACGGGCATCAGAAATGAAGAAATAAACATGAAGAAATATAAACAGCAAATAAGTATATGAAACAGTGTTCAATATCAGTGGCCATTTGAGAAATGCTAATTGAAACAATGCTGAGATTCCATCTCACCCCAGAAAGAATGACTGTCATCAAGAAACCAACCATAACAAATATCAGGGTGTCTATGGGGAGAAAAGAACCCTACCCCATTGTCGGTGGGAGCATAAACTGATTCCTCAAATCAGTTTGCATATTCCTCGAAAAACTAAAATAGAAATTCCATTTGACCCAACTATCATTGCCTTTCTACATATCTTCCCAAAAGAGTTAAAGATATCATATCAGAATGATGTACGCATACCCATGTTTGTAGCAGCACAACTCATAATAACTAAATCTTGGAAACAGCCCATGTGTCCATCTACAGATGAATGGATTTTTTTAATGTGGTATTTTTACACAATGGAGTACTACTCTGCCATAATGAAGGATACACTTGAGTCGTTTGTAGGAAAACAGGTGCCCCTTGAGGCCACGACATGAGGTGAAGTAACTCAGACACAGCTTAAATATCACATGGTTTGTCTTGTATGAAAAACTCAATATATATAAAGTACAAAATATAATACTGATTATAGGTAAAAAGAGAAAGAAAAAGTGTCATAATCCAGCACAGATTATGTATCCAAAAGTATACCATGACTTAGTACAATTGTCTTATATGTTTTGTATGTTCTTTGGCCTGCTGGTCTGGTTTTCAATCTGTGTATATGATAATAACTTTATAAGGTCTCATAATAGGTAAATGAATCTGATGCTGGAAAAATGGGTGGGTGGATTGAAAAGTGCTTTGTGCAGGGACCAATCCTCTATGTGAGTGCAGTCACTATGTGCTGCAAACATGTATTAATAAAAGTAAAAAAAAAGAGAGAGATGGCCACGTGCCACACTGGCCCTACCCCCAGGGGTGCTGAGTTGCCACCAAGTCCAAGGATAGTGGTGCACACCTGTAATCCCAGCGCTGCTGGGGAGGCTTAATGTAGGGGGATCACTACAAGTCTGAGCTGCATAATGAGACCTTGTAACAAATACAAAAAGAGAGACAGACAGACAGACAGACAGACAGACAGACAGACAGACATAGTGACAGTGAGAGACAGAGAGAGACTGACCAGGAGGGCTAGGTATGGTAACACATACCTGAAATCCCAACAACACTTCAGGAGGCTGAGACAGAAAACTCAAGTTTAAGCCCTGCCCAGGAAGCTTGGATATTTAGAGAATCCCTGTCTCAAAACAAAAAATTGCTGCATATATCACTCAGCGCTGAGAAGCGCTGGCTTCAATCCCCAGGACTGTGACCAAAACAGAACAAAAGGAAGAAAAATGAGAGGTAACAGCAGAATTTCCCAAACAGCAAGGTTTCAATGATACAAGTTCCCTCTGACTTAACCCTCACTCAGAAGAAAAAAATTACCTGATACTATCGGGTTATTCTTCTCTTGTGCTGTGTTTTTGTCCTTGCTAAGGAAAGTAACTTTGAAATGGCCCATCTGCTTTTGGCTCTCTATTTCTGTGGTGTAGCCTCCCTCTGTCCACAAAACCCAACCTCTTCTACTCAACCCATTTGGAACAAAGATTCTATTTTATGAAAGGAACCATTACAGACTCCAGAATCTAAAATAAAATCAATTAACATCTTTAAAACTGTTGTAATTTTGCCCTTTGATATTTCTTACTTTGTAAATAATACTTACCCTTGTAAATACTTGCCTGTGTTGGATGTTTATCTTGTCTAGACAAGATTATGAGCGCTAGTGGCAGTGACCTGGCTATCTCTGGCAGCTCTGGGACCTCTACTAGGGAAAGCCCAGCCCTGTAAACTAATAGTAGCTGAATGAAGTTACTGTCCTATCAGTTACTATCTTCTCTTGAGCTATGAATAAGAAAACTCATAGTGGGAAGGAAGCTAGCAGCATGAAAGGAAATTCCATACCCCAAAATCCAATGCTAAGGAAGATTTTGGGGAAATAAAATACCTTCCATGAAAATGGATTAAATCACATCTTTCTAAACTGGATCTGACCCTCTAGGAAAGACTCTTCCAGTGTCTTCTAGGGTTGGTTTTAAGTTACACTAAACTATGTATGTGAAGGGACTTTGTAAGCTATAAAGGGTTACACAAATGCCAACTATTACTGCTTTCACCATGTCCGGAATGACAGTGCCCTTTTCTTAACCTCATAATTCCTCAAACCAATAAAGCAAGAGCTCCAGGCCAGATGGTAAGAAAGAACGATAGGTCTGACTCTGTAGGAGAAGGTGGACTTCTGTCAAAAGCCAAATACCTTTTGAGGGAGAGGAGATAGTCTGGTTTAGGTGACGAAAATGCAAATCTGTAACAGGGAGGGTCAAAAATAGCCAACAACAGTGTTGTGCTGAGTGCCTTCGGCGTGCCACTGCTGCACGAGGTATCCTGTACCCGTGACTCCACTCAACCCTTCTTCAACCTGACGATGCATTGCCAATATTATTTCCATTTTAGAGGTAAAAACAAGGCTCAGGAAGGGAGAGTTAATTGGCTGATGTCACACGGATATAAGGGACAGGTGGGCTGGACAGGAACTCAGGTTGTGGGACTCCAAACTCCGTACTCTATAATAATTGAGTTCTGTCTCAACACGAAAATGGCCAGGAATTATCCACGTTAAGTATTATTTCATTGGTAAAAGTACATCCTAATCTAAACTGTCCTTCTTCCCTGTGCATCAAAGACTTTCTCATCCTTTCAGACAGGGATCCAATCTCGTTTTTCATCATAGTTCCCAGTAGGATGCTTAGCCCGTATTACTGCTGTCCTGGGACACACAGCATGTCTCTGTCCCTTGTGTGCGCCCCAGGCAGGACAGATAGGCCTCAATGACCACTGGTGGCATGGGGTGGGACAGTAACAGATGGGAGGTAGGAAAGAGTCCCCAGTCCTCATTAGTCCTAAGAATTTAAGTCTTGTTTTCCTCTTCTGCCTGCATGTTCCCAAGCATAAAACCACAAGATGTGATGTTTTCTAGAGTTCCCTTCTCACACCTGTATGTTTTGAGATTAAGAACTGATTAGCCCCAAACCTGTGGTTACTTCTGATAACATTTCTCCTCAGTGTTCTTTGAAACAAGGCCACTCCTTAGCTGGGAAAGGCAATAAGGCCTGTGACTTTGATCAGCTAACTTCCCTGGAGAAGCAAACCGCTTTAAGTCAGCCCTTCTAGTGCTGTAAAAACACACAAAGAATAGGGAGTGGCTGGTTGTCATTCTCAGTTTTGCTGTCAAATCAAAATGAAAGGCCTTACATACAAACCATCCAAAGAGACGAAGGGTCAAGGATTAGAAAAAGCTCAGTAGTAGGGCAGAAAAGCTCGTGAGCTGCCAACAAAAGGCCAGAGATGGTTTCTATGGGAGGCCAAAGATGTAAAAGACATCGCAGATACACATGCAATTCCAAACCAGGACACTAGTGAGTATTTCACACCAAATTACTATCTGCATTTATTATTATCAATGTTTAGAGTAGAGAAAAATGTAAATAAAAACATTCACAGAAATAAAGACTTTTATATGCAGTGTATTATTTGTTGAAACTGTACTTTCGATTTGATTTGAAACTGTCTCATTGCTATATGTTTATCAATAAAACTTTGAAAAGAAAAAAAAAAAAAGAAATAAAGACTTCTTTCTCTCCTTAGTGAAGAATACAAATTAGCTTGTCTTAGGAAACGCATGTTAGGTTGAAAAGCCAGACAAAGATCTAAAAATGAGGGAAGAGAGAGAAAAGGAGAAGAGGGTTAAAAAGAATTAAGATATTTAATTAGAATCTCAGCAGACTAAGGACTAAAGCACCTGCTTAGGAAGACACAGGGATCAGGGTTCAATCCCTGGCATGCTGTGCCAGCCCTGCCCCCACAGTGCACTGAGACAGTGATTGAGACTGGGATTACAGGGCATGGTGGCATGTGCCTGTAATCCTAGCACTTGGGAGGCTGAAAACAGGAGGATCACTATGAGTCCGATCTGTGTAGGGACAACCCTGTACTAAAATACATTAAAAAAAAAAAAAAAAAGATATGTTAAGTCCATACACCAACTCCCTAAGATGAATGGAGGCACAGGTACTGCAAGCATGTATTTATGCAAAATAAGTAAACATTAAAAAAAGAAAAGTCAGACAGGCTGGTAAAGAGCCAGAACAAGATGGCGGCTGAGTAAGATCTTCCAGTGAGGCCTCCCCACACACACACCAATTTGAACACTTATTCATGTACCAAAGCACCTTCCACAACAGCTAAGAAGGCCAGCTAAACTACATCAGGAAATGGTAAGGAGGCTTAAAGAAGAAGAAAGAGTTAACATTGTCAAGAATAGATTATTTAATAAAGCAAAAAATAATAAAGGCAGCATTAGGCATCAGGTTGAAAGCAGATGTCATAGGGTTGTCCTGGCCATATGGACAAAGACTGTGCAGTGAGAACTCACAGAAGATTTCTGCAAAGAAAAGGATTTTGGCTCCCGGGTGAAGAATCTGAACTTCAACAAAGCAGAATGATCTACTTCAGCTATGGCAGTAACCAGAATTAAAGGGCTATATTGTCCCCATCACTGCCAATCAGTCCCCAAAGAAGAGGAAATATACCTCCTTAGAATAAATATGAGGCATTGAGTTAACAGTCATGAGTCTATTCTTAACTTACCACAAAAAGAAGTTGTGGCCAGTCGGCTTCTCTCTAAGGGTGGAGCCCACTTACTCCACATCCCGTGGCAGGCTGGGTAAGTCACACCCTGGCAGAAGAAAGCAGCATCAATTATTAAACTTAACTCCAGCTTTTCTCTTGTCTAAAATGTAAATGCTCCTCCTTCACCCAGGCTATAATATAAAAATCCAGTACATGCACACAGCTATCAATTGCAGTTATGTCCCCCACCAACTCCTTATGTTTAAACCTACCACAGTGTGATGGTGTTTGAAAATGGGCCTTGGGAGGTGACCAGTGAGTGCGAGCAAAGTCCTCACGAACAGGGTCAGGGCCCTTTCACGAAACCCCCCAGACAGCACCTTCCCTTGCTGCCACATAGGGCACAGAGATGACAATCTAGGCACCAAGTCACTGTCCTTCCCTACACTCCGAATCTGTCAGCCCCAGGACCTTGGTTCTCCCAGCCTCAGGACGACAAGAGATAAATTTCTGTTGTTTATGGTATTCTTTTAAGGAAGCCCCAACAGACTAAAAGAGATTCAAAATAGGATAATTCAGCTATGTGGGTGCACAGCATAGGTCCTGAAATTCAGATAGAGTTCAAATGCAAGTGTGGCGGGGAATCAGAAAGGAATTTTTGTACTTGTACATTATTAAAGAACATCAGCAGAGAAGGCAGCTTGTACATCGTTCTACTTCATCTCATTGCAGACGCGGAATCTGAGGCTCAGAGTCATTTCAGGCAAGTCTTGGTGGAGACACAGCGCTAATGTCGTAGATTTTCCACCACACCAGCATTTCTGAGAGCCTAGTCTATATCTCTCCAATGAGACCAAGATGGATCTGAGATGTTCCACACTCTTAGTTATGTGTGTATATGTGTGTGTGTGTGTGTGTGTGTGTATATATATATATATATATATATTTCATATACTTTATGCACAAGTGAAACTTGCACATCAGATCCATGGTCTCAAAGATTCTGGTGTTTACAGTGAGGATGGTTTTGAGTTTTGTTTTTTAGGGAAGTTGATCAAGGGAAAAACAATAAGCAAATAGTAACACATGTTGTATGTGGACTAACAAAACGTTGGTGGTTAGAGGTGACTGTCGGAGTTTGGGGATGGCATTCTACACCAGCAGTCGGCATGCGATGACCCAGTCAGACACACCATCTGGTTTTTTTACAGTCTGAAAGGTTTTTACAGCTTAAAGTGGTCTGAAGAAGCATCAATATAAAATATCATTTCGGGGGCACATCAAAATCATATGAAATTCAAATTTCAGCATAGAAAAGCTGTCCTTAGAACACAGCCAAAGACTGGGTGTGGTGTTGCGGGCCTATAATCCCAGCTCTTGGAAGAAGAAGAAGAAGGAGAAGGAGAAGGAGAAGGAGAAGGAGAAGGAGAAGGAGAAGGAGAAGGAGAAGGAGAAGGAGAAGGAGGAGAAGGAGAAGGAGAAGGAGAAGGAGAAGGAGAAGGAGGAGAAGGAGAAGGAGAAGGAGAAGGAGAAGGAGAAGGAGAAGGAGAAGGAGAAGGAGAAGAAGAAGGAGAAGAAGAAGGAGAAGAAGAAGTCGACGACGACAGCCAGGCCTGTGTGTTTGCCCGTTGTCTGTGGCTGCTTCTGCAGTGGAGTGGCAGCCCTGAGTACTTGCAGCAGCTATTGCAGGGCAGCAGAGCCCAGAATATTTACCTCTGGGTTCTATGTTCCACTTACTCTTCTGGCTGACTAAATCTTCCCATTGACCCACATGCTCAGAAATGTACATATTCTTAATAAATTCATTTAAATTGCCTTCGCTAAAAGAAAAAGGCTTTGCTATGGGGGCTGGTAAGTTTGAGAGTCAGCTTTATGCTCTGTTAAAATAAAGCTGTTTGTATTCGATCACATCTAAGATCTTATGGAAGGAGTATCCCTTTATTATATTTAAATGTGAAATCACACAGGCATTTTAATTAAAATATTCACAATGTTATTTAATTAAAATAGCCATCACCAGAGAACTGAGATGGCAGGACAAGCTGGAGACAGGAAAACAGCAAGAGGGGTTTTCTTCAGAAGTAGGATTTTCTAAAAAGCCATGCTGTCTCTAGAACGTGGAAAACTGAGGAAAGTGTCTCTCCTACCTCCACTAGACCTTGCAAAATTCTCACGCCCATGACGCAGCCGTAGTGCACTCTGGCTGCAGAAGGGATGAACATGTTCAACGTCGATGTTAAGAAGATGGCGGCCCCAAAGACCCTAGGAGACCAAAGCGCTGTGTTATTGGGCAGGTTGGTGACAGAGAGGTGATCATTGAAACATCAATAATGGGTCTAGTAGGTCATGAAGAACCTTATGAACATTAAGAGAAATTAGTCCACTGAAAAAGACAGTGTGCTGGGCTCTGATGCACCCCAAGCTAGCCTCCGAGGCTGCTTTGATGCCCCAGCTCTGGGCCATGGACTAACTATTGCCACAGCAATGGAAGCACGGTGATGTCCCGCCTGGATGACGTTCTAGAAAGCTGCAGAATAACTGGGTTGAGGTCCCACCCAAGTGGCCCTTCCAAGTATGACTTCTACATCTTTGGGGTTTTGCTTCCTGCTGCCCATACTGCTCTCGGTCTACCACAAGGAATCCTGATTATCTAGGAAGAGTCGGATGGCCCAGAGCTAGCCAAGCACAAGCCACACAGCCCTTGTTTGAGCATCCTATTCCCTGCCATGCTAATACTACTCACCTTTCTCCCCTGCTTGGCCCAGAGCATCCTGGGAAAAAGCAGCAAGCAACATTCCCTGCCTTTCTCCTGCATGTTGACTACACATCAACCCTTATTGCATGCTGGGAAATCATGTTATGTGTGATTTCTTTTTAAAGCAGAGATGTAAGCAGTACCCAAGGGGACCAGAGCAGCCAACATCTGATCACATTTTAAAAGAATAAAATAAGCAAATAACAATAAACAAAATATACAGATTAGACAAGAACATACATAAAAGACCATCATGTTCATACATATTTGGATATTATGGTAGTGGCTTTCAAATTTTTTGACATTGACCCTTAAAATATGTGCCTATTACAGCCCAGTCTATCCACATACCTGCAAATCAAGTTTCAAAATCCAGAACTTACCCTTACATTCAGTGCACTCAGATGTTTTCTATTCTGTTTTATTACAATCTCTTCTGTTGCTCTCTTTGTTTCAAAAATGGTTCATTGGCAAATCACTCTATTGATTTCACAACCGTCTAATAATGTGCACTTCAGAGTCTGAGAAACGCTACTCTACAAAGTGGAATCTACCCCGAGAAAGATTGATGTAAAGTCATGTGAGAGGCAAATGCCTTGGAAAGGACCTGAAATTACTCAGTGCGCACCTTCTCTGGTACATGACCCATTCTACCACATCTCCCCCAAGTGGCCACCCACTTGCGGTTGAATGCCTCTGACAACAGAGAACTCACTGCTTACAAAAAGAGCCCATTCTGCTCTTGGACACTTAATTGCTTACACACCTCCCATGGCGTCTCAAGAGTGTTAAACACATATCGTACAAGCTGCAGATAGGCCCTTCATGCACACGAGGCAGAATATTTATGGTTGAATGTGATATTAACACAAATACAGGGGATCACACGATGTCACTAGTCAAAGCACAATTTAATCTAGTGATCCATTTCACGGATTAGGAGACTGAGGCCCAGGGAAGAAGAGGTGTGACTTCCAGCAGAGGTAGCTCTGTGAGCCAGTGCGGGGTCAGATTCCATTTCTCCTCAGTTAATTGCTCTTTTTTTTAAACCATGGAATCCCTTTGCAATGATACTGGGGTAGAAAAGTAAACCAAAAGATCTCTGAAGATCTCTTTGGGATCAGGGCCTCTGAGTGGCACTGCCTGGTTGCTTCTGGTTTTCTTTCTGCACCCCAAACTGAGAACCAGCGGCGCAGGTTTCATGAAGGTACCAAGTCGCCGTGCGACTGGCGTAGCACTCAGAACACGTCCGCGGACCTTACCTGTTAGCAGCGAACTTGTTTGAAATGAAGCCACCTGGGATTTGCGTCACAATATAACCCCAGAAAAAAGACCCATGGATAAGGCCCACCGTCTCCGGGTCCCAGTTAAACTGCGCTATCTGCAAACAAGAAATCAGATACGGTTGTGCTCGGAAGAAAACAACGGCCCCCCGTCTTTCACTGCTGACCCCACAAACCGAACACCCCACGATGTTCCTTTTCTCCTCCTCTTGTCAATACATTTCTGGAAGGCATTTTGCCTGCACAGGATACCAGAGTCCCTGCTTGACGAAGTCAACTTCTAGTGAGAGAAGGGAGTGACAAGCGCAGAGTTATATGTAAAAGGTAAGACGCCAGAGACGGGCGCGAGGGAGAATAAAGCAACTTGCAAAGAAAACAACAAAAAGTTCTAGGGATTCTAGGTTATTTGCTGTATCATTCAGGTATCAGTTCATGATCGCATAAAAGGAATCCAGCCCCTGTGGTGCTGGGAATGAAACCCCTCCGTCAGCGTTAGGCAACTGCTCAGCCACCAGGCTGCTCCGGCAGCCCCAATTCCTGTTTCCTTCTCTTTTTTTAAGAGAATAAAAAACCGTTAAAAAAAAAAAAAAAAAAAGTAGAAATCAAGGGTCTGCCCCTTAGCTCAGTTCTTTAAGTGGCTGCTTCAACAAAGCAGTCAGGCTCAGGCTGTGGTTCGATCCCCACAACTCAAGCCAGCCAAACCTGCCCTGAAGGCATTCGGAGCAAAAAAAAAAAAAAAGAAAGAAAGAAATCATACAGAATTTCACTAAACAAAATGATAGGAATTCAACAATGGTGGTTGCGTTGTATATTTTTGTCTTCAAGCTAGTTGTTCAGATTATTAGATATAAGCATGCAAAATTGGTCAAAAAAATTAAAAAGAAGAAAAAAAGGTAAGCATCAACTGCTCCTTTCAAAAGACCAGTAGAACTCAACTGTAGATTTTCCAAGCTACGTGTGCACACACATGCGTATTTCCTTCCCTTCCTTCTCTCTTTTCTCCTTTTGCTCACTCCAGTCGTTCCTTCCCTCAGAGCAGACTCTTTCCCTCTCGCAGTATTTATTGCACCTTCTGGATTTTCTTTCCTCGTCTAGGATCTTACACAATCCAAACAAGCACAGCCTGTCTGCCCCATCCTGCTGCTAATCGTCACTCACGTCACCGTTCTCTTGTAGGTGATGGTGTCTGTCGCTCACAGAAATGATACCTGACGAGGGACATTTAGGGCAGCTGGGCAGGGACTTTCCTCATCATCTGAGACCCTTCAAATCATAAAGGCAGACTAGAGACTTGACCAGACAGTTCTCCAACGGAAGACATGCAAATCGCAACAGCTATCCGGAGAGATGTCCCCAGTTCCCAACCCTCAGGGAAATGCAAGCCAAAACCACACGAGACGTTACCTCACACTTGTTAGGGTAGCCACTGTCCACAAAGTAAATAATTGCAACAAGTATTGGTGGAAGTGGGGGGAAAGCGGGACCCTCATATGCTATGGGTGGCAACGGAGGGTGGTGCTGTCAGTATGGAAAACGACACAGCAGAGCCTCGAAAGACTAAAACTAGAACTAAAAATACAATTCAGTGATCACACTTCTGGGTATTTACCCAGAAGAACTGATATCAGGATCTTGGAGATATCTACTTAGTTATCTTCACTGATTATTCACCACAAGCAACAGCTGGAAACCACCCGGAAGTCCACTGACTGATGGATTAAAAAAATGCAGCGTGCACGCTGAATGGAACACTCGCCAGCCTTTAAAGGAAAAGGGAATTCTGCAACATGCAACAGGTAGATGAGCCTGGGGGACACTAAGCCAAGGGAAAGAAGCAGCCACACAAATGCAGTTAACGCAGGTCCGCTTACGTGGAGTCTCTAAAACATGGCATTCACAGATCCCAGAGTGGACTGGTGCTTGTCCAAGATGACAGGGAGAGCAAGTGGGGTTGTTCGGTGGGCAGAACGCTTTAGTAAAACAATGAATAAGCTCTAGAGATACACGGTACAACCTCGTACTTATAACCAAAGAGCTGTTGTACATCTTAAGCTGTGTCCCTAGTGTTGCTGTCATGTTAAGCATTTTCCTATGGGGATTTGAATCTAAAATTCACTCCCACCCCGCCATCTGAAGAGTGTGGCAGGTGACTGGATATTTTTTTTTTCAAGCTTAATTCTTTTATTTTTTATTTTTTTTCTTTTCAAAGTTTATTGATAAACATATAGCAATGAGACAGTTTCAAATCAAATCGAAAGTACAGTTTCAACAAATAATACACTGCATATATTCTTCTTAGTGGTTAATAAGCTACTGCACTGCAGATGGTAATTTGTAATAGTGGTTTCATATTGGGAGTGCCTGTCATTGTGGTATTCTGAACACGGGCTACTTGTCATGACATGCCAGTTACTGCTAAGATGTCTCTCGGGTAGGTGGATGTTCAAGAAGAAGGGGGTGGTGAATGAAAGCAAGAGACAGGAAAAGGAATACTGTGGGACAGTCCTGCTTCAAGGTTGTATAAGGTGACTGGATATTGAGGCACTGCGCTCACCAGGGACTGATTCACTGCTGAGCTCAGAGCTGAATGCGCAGCGGGAGGGGGCGTCTGGCCAGAGGTGACGGCCGTGGCCTGGGGAAGCAGCTTTCTCCCAGCGTGGTCCACCCTTCTCTCTCTGGCTTCCAGGCCATCCTCCAGGCCATTCCCCAGTGCTGCTTCCATAAAACTCTCCTCCTTTAAATTACCAGCGTCTGGTAGTTTGCACCAGCAACAAGAAAGCTCACACATGTTGTTTTCTGTTTTGGTTTTGTTCTGTTGTATTTATTTTGTTTTCATGGTAATACTGGGAATTAAACCCAGGGCCTCCACTGAGCTAGACCTCCCACGCACCTCTCCCACCCCCTTTTTCTTGAGACAAGGTCCCTGCTAAGCTGCCTAGGTGAAACACAAGCTATCACTATCAAAGAGTAAAGCCTCCTTACTACAAGGAACGGCACCCACATCAAGTCTCTGCAAATGTAAATGCTGTCTTTGGAGAATAATTCTGTGCAGATGTGAAAAAGCCAGAGATCTGGAAAGGAGCTATCCTGGATGAACCAGCTGGGCTCTCAGCCAGGGACAAGAGTCCTTGGACAAGAGGAAGGCAGGGAGACCTGAGACAGGAGAGAGGACACACAGATAGGAGGAGGCCCTGCTTAGAGGCCTGAAGACGGAACCTAGGACCTCACCTATGGTAGGCTAGACTCTACCGCTGAGCCACATCCCTAGACATTTTTTTTTTTAAATTTTGAGACAGGGTCTTACTAAATTGCCTGAGCTGGACTCCAACTTGTGATCCTCCTTGCCTGGTCTCCTGAGTAGCTGGGGTGACAGGCTGTACTGCCACGCCCAGCTGCCTGCTGTGTGGCAACTCAACTTTCCTTTCTCCCTTCCTCCCTCCATCCCTTCCTTCTTTCCTTTCTTTTGCTCTTTGTACCAGGGTTGAAGCCAGGGTCCTAGTGCACGCTAAGTACACTGTCACTGAGGGACACTCCCCACTCTACCTTATAATTATTAAACTAAAAAGTAATTACCTATACATTAGCTAAAATCACCTTCATACTCCTTGCACGCCATATGCCACATATTGCTTATAAGACTGACCTATCCATACCTACTTCTCTCCTTTTGAAAATGAAGATTCTAAGCCAGGCATGGTGGCACACAAATGTAATCCCAGCAGTCCAGGAAGCAGAGACAGGAGAATCAAAAGTCCAAGCCTGGCTTAGACAGCTCAGTGACTGTCACGGTTTGTGTCTAGGTAGCTCCCAAAAGCCTCATGCAGTGATGGGGTGGCTTCTAGAGTTTGTGACTAATTCATGATCCGATGTTGGGATTATGGGTGTGAGAGATGCAGGGATTACAAGTATGAGCGCTGCCCCAGCCCTGGGGTGGACAGACTGAACGCATACAGTAGGCCTGCTCTCCACTGCCAGGGCTGCTGCTCCTCCTTTGTGGCTCTTGCTGTTCTCCTATTTTCCGCCACCATGAACTGCTGCCCTCTGCCACGTGCCACCCCGCTTTAGAGCCGGCTGGTTATGGACTGAAGCTTCTACAAACTGTGAGCTGAATAACCTTCCCTTCCTTCATTTGGGGTGTCAAGATTTTGTCCCAGCAACAAGAGAAAACTAACTAAGACAGTGATTTAGCAAAAGCCTGTCTCATAATAAAAATGAAAAGAAGGGGATGAACAGTGACTCAGTACAAAAACCTTGGATCCAATCCTAGGACCAATAAATAAATAAGTAAATCTGAAGTGTCTAGTTTTCCTAAATAGGCATAAATGTCAGGCAGTCTTTGTAGACTGCTCAGTTGATACCTAAATTTTCTTCTACTTAGGCAAGAAATGGCCTGCCAAACATTGAAGTTGCACTAGAGCCTCCTCTTCCTGAGGCCAGAGAGAGGCATGTAGAGCATCCTTTGGGCCCCCAGCCAGTTCCTCTAAGACTCCAGACGGCACAGCCGTCGATACCGGGCACGCACGCCAGCACCCTTCCTGGGCTTGATCGAAATGCCACTCTGCGCACCTCAAAGCAGACTCTGCTGACCTGGCCTGTCTTTTCAGGCAACAAACAAATGCAGAAACAGCATCTCATTTTGATCCCAGCCTTGGCAGGCAAGGTTTAATTAGCCGGCCACGCTCACAAAAGGCTGAAGGCATACGCATGGTACACATCTGCAGCCTTGCCAGCGTACTTCACTCCTGGTGTTAAAACGCATCCTGTGCTCTTCCAGCTGTATCCCAGCCCCCTACACGTGACAGCATAACTGCCCGGGGCAGACTCAGCTTGTGGCATCAGACAGCCTGGTTAGAACAGTCTCCATGGTGCTATCCTCCACTGGAGAATAAGCTTAGTTTAAAAAAGAACAAAAGCATTCAGGCCAGTGAAAGACCTCTTTTTAGTGGACCAGCTTGGCAGGAGACCATTCCAGGTGATGCCAACAGATGTGGCATGAACGACTACATCCTGCCATCGCGCCGGGCCAGGAGGTACTGCCCCGGAGAGTCACGTGGGACACGGGGCCCTGCAGGCGCCACATTGCCCAGTACTTTTTCAAGATGTAGCCTGCCAAGCAGTGATTTCCCAGGTACCAGCTTAGAAGATTCTGGTCTCTGGGTATGGGTAGGAATCCAAGAACTGTCAGATGCTTCTCTGCAAATGAACAGATTTTTTTTTCTTTTTTTTGGCGGAACCGGGGATTGAACTCAGGTCCTTGGGCTTGCCAGGGAAGCGCTTATTCCACTGAGCCATAGATTTTTTTTTTTTTTAATGAACAGATTTTCACAGGAGTCTTTCCAGAGCATGTGTTCAATCCAGTAAAATATAATATCATAAGGTGACCAAAATACATGATAAATGCTTAAATTTTTAAAATTTGTTAGAGTTGGCTGGGAGATAGCTCAGCAATCTAAGCACCTGCCTGGCAAGCGCAAGGAACTGGGTTCAATCTCCATGCTGTACCAGTCCCAGAACCCAGGCACACCATACCAGCCACCGAGACCTGGCATGGTGCCGCACGCCTGTAATCCTGGTACTGGGGAGACTGAAACAGGAGGATCACTATGAGTCCAAGCTGTGTAGGGAGACCTTGTACCAAATAAAGAAATAAATACAAACATTTTTAAAAATTGTTACAGTAAAAGATCCATTGCCCTTAATCCTCCCCTGGTTACCCCTTGAGCATGCTCAGGCCACCATTCCTGCCACCTTCTGGAGCAGCTGGAAGTCCCCTTTCTTGAGTATCTTTATGAGGTGCAATTTTTTTTAAAAAATACAAATGTCGGGGCTGGAGAGATGGCTCAGTGGTCTAAAGCACCTACTTAGAACAAGCTTAGCAAAAGCATCAGGGACCGCGGTTCAATCCCCCAGCACC